ATTAAGTAATTTTAGGGAACATTGTGGAGTGAAAGAAGATGTAGTGTTGAGGATTGAGAAAGGCATGTTGAGATGGTTTGGACATATAGAGAGGATGAACGAAAGGAGATAGACGGAACAAGTATCCAAGACGAGTGTGGATGGGAGAGTTGGAAGGGGTCGACCTCAGCGAACATACCTCCATCAGATTGAGGATGTTTTTAGCAAAGGCCAGCTTAGGAGCACCCTAATTAAGTTAATAACATTGTACCTACCTATATAGTTTAAGTTTAAAAAATTTGGCTCTCAAAAGAAATTTCAATCGTTGTACTGTTGATATTTGGCTCTGTTGACTAATGAGTTTGCCGACCACTGGACTAGCCTGACTTCTTTCCTGCTGGCTCCAGGGGGAGGGTTGTCCAAAAGCATGTTGTGTTTATTCCCAAGGAAAACAGCTGGCTTCCTCTTCAGCTAGTTTTCTGCCGTTTATTATTTGTAAATTCCAACTCTCCCGCCTCCGGCGAGGCAAACGTACAAGTTATTATCAGTAGCTACGAGGAAGCCTCAGAGTCACATTGTTTTCCGATCAAAGAGTGAGGATATTATTTGTTAAAAAAAACCAAAAACTTTCAGAAATACTGAGCTTGTTTCTCCCTGTTCTATCTGCTCCCCTCTGTTCTCCTACCCGCTCCCAGCTCATTGCTATATGCAATTATTTCACAGCATTTAAAAAACCTGCCTTTTAATTTTGACACCGTGTTAACAGTCTATGGGTTTTAGTTAAAGTGTTATGTAGACTTTTCTGTACCTCTTTATTTGTCAGGAAAAAAGAAAGCCCCTAAAATACACGCTTTGTGCGCTCTTTCCTGTGGCTCTGCCGCTATCTCGGCCCCAGCCTGCTAGCAGGCCTCCCCGCTTCCTCCGAGCCTGCGATCTCCATGTCCTAGCCCGAGTTTCCCACCCAACAACCGCTGCTTGCCAACCATTCTTGCTGGACCTGGAAGGGAACCACTGATCCTCAAGATTAAAAAGCAAAACAGGGAGCTACCGTGTCCCCGGGGACGGCTCTATTGTGGATCACCAGCTCTGCTCCAGTTCCCAGGCAGAATCAGCCGGCCGAGGCGGTGGGCAGACCTGCTGGCGCTGCCCCGGGGTCTGGACCCCGATGACATTGCTTGACCCTTGAGGGAGCCCGGGTGTAGGACCACACAGTGATGAGTCCAGAGCTTCGGGTTTTAGCTGGACTTGGTCACACGCTCCTGTGCTATCTGCTAACCAGCAAATTGCATCCCTCATGGTTCTTCGGTGTGTGGTCCTCAAGCTCACGTGTGCATCAGAATCACCCGAGAAGTCGTGAAAGCACAGATTTCTGTACCCACCCCGGAGTTTCTGATTCAGTGGGATTTGGGGGAGGGGGGAGAGGGGGGCAAGAATTTGCATTTCTCACAAGTCCTTTGGTGATGCTGATGCTATTGAGTTCTTTAAAGTTCTTTGCAGCTTCCCCTTTGAGTACCTGCTGACAACACTTAGGGAACGACTAAGTGAGAAGATATGGCCAGTGGTTTGCTCTTATCTGTGTGCTGTGTGACATAAAGGCCAGGAGAGGAGGAGATGTTCAGTTCTGTGCTTCTAGGTGTGGTTCTAACTTAGCAGCATACTGTCTGGGTTCCTCTGGGCTCCAAAAATTGGGAAGGGGGACTGATTGGGAAGGGGGGCTAATTGGGAAGGGGGACTGATTGG